TAATGCTGTGAAATCTCCTTTCCTGTTTGTATTCCAAATCATCAGCAATACTTTGATCTAAAGCTCTTGTAATGGTAGAATTCTCTAGTTCTTGTTTTTCTGGACTCTGGTGACTCTCTAGAGGGGGTTAGTGAAGATAAATGTGAGGGACAGTTTGGTAAAATTCTAGGGATTGCACCTATATAAGAAATTGCTTTCTTAAGGCTAACACTAATTGGGGTACCAGTTTTCTTATGGAATACTTGTGTTTCTCGCCTTATGTCCTCAGGATGAAAAAGCAGTTCACATGCCTAAAAAGAAGTGAATTAAAAGGGCAATTACACCTTATTTTAAAATGCTTGTCAAAATTTAAGATTAGTAAAAAAAAAAAACTATCTTGTCCATATTTTTATTGAAAATTTAATTGATAAAATAATGAGTTTTGTCAGTGTTCTAAAATTCAGTAACAAAATTCAAAACCATTTAGAAATACTAAAGACATAGGCAAAATCATAACATTAAGCAATTTTAAGTTTACACATATATATTTGTGGATTTTCTATGGAAATAAAAAAAAATTCAAATGTTTGTTTTAAGTGTTTATTAGAAATTATAAAAAATTCCTATAAGTATTTGTATTGAAATTTTTATTAAAAAATGATGAGTTTAATAATTTCATCCACATAATTCAATATAAATCTTTTAACAGTTGGGGGGGGGCACCTGATTATTTTGTTTTAATGTATTGTGAATTATAAAGTTATGAAATTAATTCAATCATTATGTTTTATTACTTTTTACAAATAATATAAAAGAAAATAATATAAAATACATTACTCTAAATTATTATTTTTGTTTGGTACAAATTTTTTTCTTTTGATAGCATGTATCCATGCATCTGATAAATCCTTATCTTTTGGAAATGAAAATACATTCTCTTTTCTTTTTTTTTTTTTTATAATTTCCTTTGCATTTTGGGACAGCACAATCCTGTGGCATTTTTTTTTTTTTTTTTGTAAATTATTTTAGTGTAAACAAAACAAATAAAAAAATCAAACTGAGTCAAGAAAACTTAAACAGTAAAAACTAATGAAAGTATTTCTCTAATTTTATACTACATATAGTAACGTCAGCACATAAACCCTTCCCATGGAACAGACCTTCTATCTAGGTGGTATTGGTTTTTGCATGGTGTTGCAGGTGGTAACTAGTAACAACTATACAAAATAGAAAAACACCTACCACAACTATTTTTATTACAATCATTAAAACCAGGAGGTGTGAAAAATTTTCTTCTTCACAAAGCAGCTCTTAAGAAGAAAAAAATAAAATAAAATGATTGATCAGTTGTTCAGATTTATTGAAGCAGGTTGAGCTGAGAACTTTTCAACTCCCCTTCTGATAATATTTTTTAAATTTTTTTCTTTAAAAGAAATGAATGAATGATTTTGAATAGTGAAATAAGACAATATCACTTTAATTTTTAAAATATTGATAAAAAAATACATTAATCAAATGAAAATTTAGTGGTTGGTTCAAAAAATACACAAAAAGACCAACCGTAAACACTTTTCATTCGTGTTAGTCACGATTTTTCGATGCAAGGGAGACAAGAGAGAGATGCTATTTGAAAAGTTATCTCCCTTAGATTCGTTTGATTTTTTTTTTTTTTTTTTTTTTTTTGATTTTTTTAAAAACTGTTTTATATAGACTAATTTCAATACTGCAAATTATATTTACGCATAACTGGTCTCTCAGTTTTTGCGCATTAAGTTTTACTATCAATTCGGTTTTATTTTTCCTGAAATATGGTTCCTTAAAGAAAGGACAGACCCTAGAAAAAATGTTATCAATTATTAGATAAATTTTGACCTTTTGCTGTCAAATTTTATATGAAACCAATTTCAAGTTTGGTTTGAAGTGTCTTATTAACTGGGAAGTCCGGATCACAAGATCTTTTTGCTATTAACATTTATATCAAAATTGCTATTTTTTTAAATTAAAATTTTTCATACTTGACTGTAGTATGACAATTAGTGGCAAAAAGCTTTTATATAATGCTTTGTTTTTTTTAGGATTTCATTAAACTAAGGATGTATTTACATTAATGTGACTTCACATTTGCACAAAGGAAAGAAATGCTGAGAATTTATAAAAAAATTTTGTGTTTTGGTTATATAATTAAGCCGATTTCATTTAGATTTTTATATGTCCAAAACACATAAAAAGAAAATAATTCTCAGCATCTGTTTTTCCTTTGTGCACATGTGTAGTTACATATGCATACTTAATCTAATGAAACACATCACATAAAAAAACCTTTTCTACTTTGGCATACATCTTTCCCCTAAAATTGTTCTTCATATATAAAAAAAACTTATCTTTCATTATCTCTTACTTTACTGTGTATAAGTTGACAATAAATTATAAAACCATGTGTAACGTCACCCTGGGCTTCTCCCATGCTATCCTGTGACCATCTAACCCTTGGCTGATTCGGATGGAAATCTGGTTAGATTTGGCATCAGCTTTGTCGTTCCCAACTTGCCTCCAATGTCTGGTTACCGAAGTAACTGCTTTGATTTCTAGTCCAACCTACCCATGTTGTGATTTGATCTTAGGTAGACGAAATCAATCAATTGTCGGGCTGTAGTGCAAACCGAATTCGAGCACTTGTAACACCACACAAGTATATGTAAAAGAAAATAAAGTAACAACTCAAAAGACTCAAATGTGTTAAAAAGAGAATAACAAGTAGCTTTATATCTGGTTGCTGATTACGGGACTGCATCTTTCTCCCAAACCACTTGTATGGATACGTGACACTTTGCGTTTCTTAGGCAAGTCTTAATATCTTAAATTGTTTTTCAAGAAACTGGTTTTTGGTATCTTCAGGCAATATTTGTAAAACTTGTTTTGGTGGTCTGAGTATAAGTCGCTCTTCAAAAAAAAAAATTGTTTTTGGTTAGAAGTCTAAGTCGGAATGCGTGGATATCTTTCAGTCCACTCCTGCGAGGCTGGTCTGCGAGCTCACAGCTCAACTCTGTCTGTTCTGTCACTCTGTCTGTGTCCTCCCAACTGCCACTGCGACTGCCCTGTAACTCCGTTTATATGGACGCCGATCAAAACCAGGTGGGGGCCTGTCATGGTTTTGGCTCTTCGATAATTCCAAATCCGCAATAAGGATTTTCTTTGTTTTCGGACAGGAAAATTTATCACTTTCCATTTTTGGAAGTCCATTAGTTTCTGTTTTAGAGGGGTTCTTAAGGGAATTGTCCTCCCAAATTCTTCCTTTCTCATATTGGTATCTCACACCAATCCCCTCAGAGGGCGTCAACAGGTTTCCCTTCTTTCTCATAGTGGTATCTCACACCAATCCCCTCAGAGGCATCAACAGGTTTCCCTTCTTTCTCATATATTTACCTTCGCCTATCGCCCACTCCACCATTCAGCCAATGAACGCTCAGCAGTGTGGGTGTGGCTAGACTGGCCTCAGTTTAAAATTATCGCTCAAAGAAAAAAAAATTATCTTCCTTTTTCTTTTCTTTCTTTTCCCCGACTGGGACCCCGATGACTCGTAGTGTGGTCATTAAGTCTCTATCTTAACTGAATGTCATCTGGAAATCATCAACGAGATTTTCGTCAAGTGATTATTGGGGTGATCAAGTGAATATCTTTGTATCCTCAATGCCTTTGTACTTCTATCGCCAACAATCTGTCCAGGTAACAAACTTTTATCATGGCAAGGTCTGGACATAAAATGGGTGGTCCCTTTTCAAAACAAATGATATCTCCGAAAGATAGTTAATGGTTTATTCTTTTCCTTTTTCTCTTCCTCTTCCCTTTTTCTTTGGTGTGGTCTTAGCTGATCCCTTTCTCGGTCGATGCTTGACCTAATTCTGATTATCTTCCAGCATTTTGCTTTGTAAGCCACTTGACCAATTTGAAATTTTCATTATTGCCATGGGCAGATTGCTATCATTTATTCACCGCGTCATAGCATAAATTAATTCTGACAGATCCGAGATCTTACGAATTTCCTATCTTCTGCAAAAAAAATACTTTCTTCGCAAATGAAAATAAAATCTTTACCACTTTTCTTTGTTAAAAAAAATAACATTGTTCAGTATGTCTTTCGTGATAGCTTCTTCTCGCCTTAAGTATTTCTCGCTTTTAATTTCCACGCTTAATTAGTTAGCCAAACACTAAATAGTGTCACACATGAAATAGTTGATGTAATCTTTTGATTTAAAAAAAAAAGAATTGTAAAAGGATTGCACCAAATAAAATGTCTGTATGAAAAGTCTTGATGCTCTTTTACACATTTTAGTTATTGAGAATTCTTCAAGGAAGGATTTTTGTAAATGTTAAATATCACATTAAAACTTCTAAATAGACATTTTTATAAAGCATGCTACTATTTAGATTGGAATTTGAGAAATTCTTTGACAAAACTGAAGACATCTTATGATGTAATGGAATTTTGATTTAGAGTACACAATATGGATGCTTTTAAATTCTCCCTCAAAGGTCGTGTTTAGTGTGCTTATTACTCGGTGATAATTACACTTAGTGATAGTAAATTTACTTCATTAGATCCTTGTGCCAAACTTGATCCATGGCAATAAATATCAGTTTCCGCTAACCTGATATATATAATATTCACATATTACTTCTCTTATGTATATAAATAATTTTATTAAAAAATCAGTACCATGTTATTCCATTTTAGGATATCAGGCTGACTCTTCCAGTTGAATTTAACTTGAGGGCCAGGTAAATTACCTGTAATTGACAGAAAAAAAAATTATGAAAATACTGAGTATTTAATATTTTGTCTTTCTAATGAAATAAATATTTACTGTCTTTAATTTCAAATGAGGAATATTAATACAAATTTTATTATACAAATCATTATTCTGTTAATGTTTGAAAAATCATTCCATTTCAATTTATGAATTTATCAAAGAAGTCTATTTTCCTTTCTGTTGTTATTAATTCTATTTATCCCTTTTTTTTAGGCTTGTTTTGTGTAAAAATTCAGACAAGTACAAACGAAAGGATCAACCTGCACTTTATATCTTGAATAAAGTCAATAAAGATGGCACTCCACTTAAGACTTCACCAGGTTATGAAGTAAGTCTTTCATCTTTTTTCTTTTCTTTAAATCAAGTGTAAAATATCTATGCTATATCTGTCTACAGACATTTTTGAAAATTTCAGTCTTTCTTGATCCAGGCTCAAGGCCAACTCCCTTGCTTTTTTTTCTTTTTAAAAACAAAAAAATATGTAGAATTTATTTAATTACTTGGGTTATTGATCAAATAATTTTTATTGTCATTTGGACAATCCATTTTATAACCTTCCTTAGGCATGCACTTAATATAGAATGTGTGTATAAGAATTTTTCTGTCACTTTTATGCATGCAGAAAAAAATGGAACTAGTCAAAATAGGAAAGCCAAAAACATTTGACAGAAAAATTTGATAGGGTCTGTAGCTATGATTTCTTTCATTGACCTTAAGGTAACAACACCTAACTAAGGAAACATCAATAAACACAAACATTGATTTATGGAACAAACAGTAAATAACTATTAAGTGGAACACTGGCACTGTGGAAAAGAAAAAGGACAAGTCTCTGTCGGAGCGATTAATTCAAGCACCGGTCATAAATCACACAAAGCTTTCTGGGATTGTATTTGGTTTTAGTATGCAAAGTTCGTACTTCCAAGTAAATCTAATTATCTGTCAGTAGAGCATTAGTTTTCATTTCAAATTCCTTGTCTGGTAGTGGTGAGTGGAATTTTACACTGCTGATGTGTCAAGCAGTTATGACATTCCTAGTCCATTGATGATTGCTTCTTCTCTTTTGCTGTACTGCTAACTGTTTAAATGCTAATTCTCTTCTGCTTATAGAAATAGGCTCAATTTGCATACAATTTTAGCTAATTCTTTTGGCTAATGTTGAATTCATAATTCTGATTTAATTTAGTTTTGTTATTTTACTGAAACTAAGTCGACACGTTGTTTACATTATGGCATCTAGACATCTAATCCTGGCTATATCTGCCTGTGTGTGTAATAACATCTTTTAGGTTTTTAGAGGTGCAACATGTCTGCCATATCTGAAGAGATAAGGTCCATATAAAAAGCATTGCTGGAAGTTGAGGAAATCAAAATTTATCTATAAGTTTTACCATCATGGAAGAATTTAAAGAGCAATCCTTATTTTTAAAATATTAAAACTGTCAGTTTTATACGTGTTCCTCTCAGATGGTCAGTTCATATTATTTGCCTCAATTATCTTTGGTTGATTATTCAGATGTTTTTTTCTGTATTGATTATATACATATGACAAAGGATGCATGATCAATTAACTAAAATTTAGTAAGACAAAAAAAGAAAACCTCTTGCCCAAATTTTAGCCACTTCTGCCTGGAGGACCTTTGGAATAAAATGTAAACTTTTAAATATGTTTAGAAAAAAACTGAAAAATTTAAAATTAATTATCTATTGGTGGGGAGTGACTTGCTGATTAGCTTTATTAACATGCTAGAAAATGACTATTTCTCTTATTTCTGTATATTATTTTTATTAAACTTTGAGAGTTGCTGTTTGATAGATGTTGCATTGTTTGTAGTAATTATTTTTCTTTCAACTATACAAAGACTTTTTCAAATAAATGATTTCTATAACAATATGGTATTTCACTAGTAAAATAGTAGCTATAAAAATGAGGGTCCAAAACAAAATGCTTTTACATAGACTATATACAACCTTTTTGCTGAAATCAAAAGAAGAATACCAAATGACATGTAACCAGACTTGTGATTATTCAGTCTTGCTTCTAATTGTCTTGATCAGTTTTTGCAAGACGTGATATTTCTGAAAAAGTATAGTAATATTTTAAGTGCAATTATAATCTTTTAATTTTGTTTTTCATTTTTAGATTCCTAAATGTTCTGGAAATAATTTTTGTAGAGTGATAAATATATCTGCTTATTCTTTATATAAAAGTAATCTTTCTTTCAAAAATGTGTAAAAAAAAAAAAAAAAAAAATAGTTCCCTTGATAAATGGTTGCTTTAATATATATATATATATGTTTGTTTTTATTTTAATAAAGCACATATGAATATATGCATTTGTTTTTTTTTATTTAAAAGAAATCTTTTTGCAAAAAAAGTCTATTTTTGAATGCAGCTAGCAATGATGTAAGCAGTTTCAAACTCGACATTTGTAAATAAAAATAAGTACAGGTAACTCCTTAAAAAAGTTAGGGACCAATTTTACACTATAGTGATAATTATAGTCAGTTTGTAATAAATTTCCAGAATCTGTTACGCTTCTACTAACAGAGTAATGGTATGAACAACCCAACAACATGTGTCTCAAACAACCCAACAACGTGTCTCCTGTTCACTACAACAGTCACTCTTCTGTCTCTATCACCTCTTTATGCATTTTTTATAGATTGATTGACAATTGAAATTTGCATATTTGCATATATTAAAGAGATTCTCATGTGAGTCTATCTGTTTTAAATGTATGACTCGTGAAGCTGCCATTTTGTTTTTGGAAATATTTTTCCCTATTTTTTATGAGTGGACTAGTAGTACCAAACTATGTAAATTCTAACAGGTTTATAAAAGCTGACAAAGAATAGTCTTGATTGCTATAAATCTCTCAAAAAGGAAAGATTTCTTGCCACATAATTCATGACTTAAGTAGGTATTGATCAAAATATGAATTAATTATTGTCTCATATATTCTTCTACCACTTTTATTTTTACTTATTGCTTATTTCTAGTTGCGGTATTTTGTTGATCCTTGTTTCTTGAAACCTGGTGAACCTCTCCTGTTTTTGCAACATCTTCAGCAACAAACATTACATATTGACGTCTGGGATGGAGATTCTCTATTGTTGATAGGTTCTTGTTCAGTACCACTTAAGGTATGAAGTTTTTCTTTTATTCTTAAAGCTTTGTAATAGTTTTTATATTAAGTCCAAAAATTAAAGATCTACTAAAAACTACTACTTTTTCAGTATGCGTGTCGCAATGGTCATGAGGCTGTCCAGTGTACTGTAGAACTTGATGTGTTGAACACAGAGTATGATGAAGATATTGATGAGATCAGTGATGACCTTGGCAAATTGAGAGGCATTCAACCATATGGTGTAGCTGCCATTTGCAAAGGTCAGCTTCACTTTAGAATAGCCAATATAGGACACCCACCAACAAACCCTTCTGAATCAGACCCAGGTATTTGTAATCTTTTAATATCTTTTAATTCTTATAATTCTTCAATATTTTTTATTTCTCACTTTGAAATTTAAAAAAAAAATTTAGGCTAAATATTTACCATACAGTAATGGAAAAAATATCAGGCTAATGTGTAAATGTCTTCTATGTAAGATGATGGTTAGAAAGGTAGTTTTGCAGGTCATCAGTGAATTTGATTCTCATTGGCTCTTCAAATAATGCAGCCTTGTGCCAGGCTATGATAGTTAAATATTTTATGTTTTACGGCTTTGTCTTTCCAGTAATAACAGAACTGCCTGTTAAATCTCATGTGATATTTTCGCATCTGTGTGGAAAATCTGAGTTTCAAGGAGGAAGTCTTGTGTCTGGAAAAAAGAAAGGTAATGTTGTATTGACGTTCTTTCTATTTGAAATGTTTTGAGAAAGATGGATACTTTTTTTTTTTTTTTTTTTCAATCAAACCTTCAATGCCCAAATTTTAATAGATGAATAGGGATCATTACAAAATTACAGAAAAAAGTTTTATGAGAGAAGAGCTGAACTCTGTGATCGAGATGAATACAATGATTTTTGTCATTAATCAGATGTATTCCTATTGTCAACCTTCTATTGATTCTGATTTGAAGTAACTTAGAAGAAAATATTCTCTCAATATACATATAGATTTTTTATATGTTGGCCTAATTCATAGTGTTTTTATTTTTTGACAAAATAATCAGATCTATTAATTTTGTATTGGGAATATCGGTTTTATTTATTTATTTATTTATTTATTTATTTTTCTCTTTTTGCTACGTCTTCTTTCATTGGCTAGTATCACAAAATTGTTTGTATTACTTCAATCAAATATTTATCATGATTTCTTCATGTAGCTTGTCTATATAAATTGGTTCATGGAGCTTGTTTATATAAATTCAATACAAGACCAAAATTGAATCCTTGTGTGAAACCTTTTAAAAACATTTAAGTGAAAATTAAATTTGTAACTTTTATAATCCTGAAAGTTCTTTAACTTGCAATTTTATTAGAATTGTTTCTGTTTTAAATTGATGGTATACACACACATACAAGCAATTGATGGTATACACACACACATACAAGCAATTGATGGTATACACACACATATATACAAGCAATTGATGGTATACACACACACATACAAGCAATCTGAAAATTCTGGTATAAAATGACTTATGGCCACTTGACGTTGAAACACCAATTCCTGTATGATCCCTGGTTAAGCAACATCGAGTCTGGTCAGTACTCAGATGGGTGACTACTTGGGAATACTAGGTGCTGTAAGCTTGGATGTGTGGGTTGTGTAACGGATAATGACTTGGAATTGTTAATTGGAGAGCCAAGTTTCAATTCCAATCAGGTTCATTATATTCACTTACATGCAAATACTCTTGGGGAAGTTATGAATCTACCTATTCTCCTTCCAGCTATGGGTTAATTAATAAAACTAAACCATTATTATCTCCATAAATAAAATAAAATTGTGTACAAAAAATGTTTAGATTTTAGCATTAAATGACCCTTAGTGGTTTATATGCTGCTAAACAAAAACAACCAAACAAATCTGGTATAAAATTACAATTTTAATTAATTATAATTATACAAACAATATACCTATTCTATTGGTAACGCTTGTATTAATGGATTTCTTTTTAGATTTTCCTTTTTATAATTCTTAACCATGCATTTATATTATATATACTCATGAGCCAAATAAAACCACCTGACTAATAAGGTATTGATTCTCCATGTATAGGCATGAACTCTACAAGAACACTGGGATCTAGTACCAACATTTTAGTAGCAGATCCTTTTACTGCTGTAAATTGTGTGGTTGAGGTGTCTAGAGCAATCTTGATGCTTTAACACATCCCATAGCAGTCGGTGAAATTGAGATCTGAGGAGTTTGGAAGCCAAGTTACCACCTTAAAATCATGCCTCTGAAATCCTTGTCGTATTACAATTCCTGCTGCATGAAAGATGTCCACTGCCATTGTTGAATGCTGTGAAGGAGTATACCTGATCTTCAGTGATAGATGGGATGAGACAAGAATATTAGCACCTGGTATTTCCAAGGTCTCAAGAGAACGTTAATGAAACTATTGCACTATTTCCACTAGCTTCTTATTTTCTTTCATCTTGATTAAAGCTATCTAAGGTGTGACCACTTCACTTAAGGTTTTAGTAGTGGATAAATAATGTTTAGCAGATAGAGTGAAGGAAATAGCAATACTAAATAAATTAAAGTGAGTATACTGATACATGAAATTTGGGAATGCTATAATAGAAAAAGCAACCAAATGAAATGGTTAATTAGAATGTATAAAAAATGCTTGAATAAGGTTTGAGCTTAAAATTGGGAAGAGTCAAAACCTTTATTTCTAATTTTTAATATGCGTATATGACAAAATCTGAGTTAGCAAAAATTATTAAAATGTTCTCCTATTCATCCAAAATACATATTTCTTATCAAAGTGGGGAATAAAGAAATATATTTATAAGCTCATTTAATGACCACCACTAGCCAGCAGGTGAAGTGGTAGTCAAAAAAAAAGGCTTATGTGACAACTCCAATAGCAAAAGGCTATATAAACAAACATTCACAGCTGCTGGCAGTGGGAGAGAAACTCTCCAGTCAGCCAGTAATGTCTGTTTTGTCACCTGGTCATTAGATACAAAGTTACTTTTTGACAGAGAAGAATGGAGCTGAGTTAAAATGGAAGAAACTGGCTTGAAAGAAAGAATGAAGACAAAAGAAGTCTTGCTACTATTGTTGACCATTGAGAGTAAAAGGCCTAAATGGAAAGAGGAGTCCTTATGCATAGTTCTGGGTGGGACGATAAACTACATTTGGCAACAAGGCCGGTGATCAAGAGATTTTGAGGAGTGTAAAACATTATGAAAGTATAAAATACATTTTTATAGTAAAATGACCAATACATTTTATCTGCAGTTGAACACATACAATTGCGTTCAAAATATATTTAGTTAAAGCCATAAAATTGTTCAATATATTTAGATTAAGGCATTAAATTGATATGTATCATATGTAAAGGGCAGTTGTGTGTGTCCGGCTAAAACTGAAAAAACTATAGTAATTCATGACAAAATAAATTTATATATCATCCAAGCTAGCTTTTTGTAAACAAAATTATTGTATGATTTGTATTTACAAAGATATTTTAAAATTCAAAATTCTCAGAATTAAAAAGTAAAAACTAACAGTTAGAATTCTTGTTCTCAAATCGGATTACCGTTCACTTTTACTTTTTTTCTGCTAAACACTATACAAGTATGTATTTTAAAAATTTCTATTCTCTTGAATTTATTTTCATATCTATAGTAAATAAAAGTGTAACTTTAAATAAATGAATAAAGTAAATTTAAAAGAAGAATATTAAATAAAATTATTTGACAAAATGTTTATTAATATTTATTAATGCAAAGACCATAGCAAGCCTTATTTTTTTTGAAAATTAAATTAAATATAGTTAAATTTGTAAAACATATATTCAACATGACTAATGTTGACCATAATGTCTATCTATGCTAATTTTTATTTAACTCAAGTTTTTATTTTCTTTTCAGATACAAATATAACTTGAAATTTAGACAATTACTTTTCGAAACTAAATTCTCAATGTTAGTAATTAAGGTTTAAAAATAAAACTTTATTTACATTAAAAAAATCTAAATTCCCCTCCAAAATAAATAAATTATTCTTTGAAGAAGTAAGGTTTGCTATAGTTTTTGCTTGAAAAAATGATAAATTAAAATAAATCTTAATTTAAGTTTATTTACTTTTTTATTAATAACTAGCGGGGGATACCCAGTGTTGCTCAGATTTTTGAATAATAGTTTATTATTGAAACTATCTTATGAAAAAAAAAATTTTATTCAATCTTTAAATAATAAACTTTTTTGGTTTGTTACAAAATAGCTAAATTTAAGAAAATATTACACTACCAATACAATGCTGGGGAGGTGGGGCTTAGAGGATTGAACATCCCCATATTTTTATTCAAAACACTTTATTTTTCAATTTAAATACATAAATACTGTTGATGTTGTTTTCAAACAATCAAACTTAGATAAAAGTTCATTAACCTTTTTTAAATTATTATTAATAAAAAAGTAAAGAAACTTAAGATATGTTTAAACATTTAATCATTTTTTCAAGCAAAATTACTTTTTTATGTTTGTTACAAACCACAAAAACAATGAATTTTATTTTTTGAAGTATGAATATAAAAATTATTTTCCATAAGATGGCTGAAAAATATTAAGTCAATGATACACACACACATTAATTATTGTAGTTTTTAAGTTTAGCCAGACACACACACACACACACTCGAATATTTGAATAAATAAATATTAAACTTTTTGTCAAATAATTGTATTTAATATTATTCTTCTTTTAAATTTATTTTGTTGTTTTAATATTCATTTCTTTAAAGTTACGCTTTTATTTACTATTGATGTGAAAATAAATTTAAGAGAATAGAAAATTTAAAAATACATATGTGTATAGCATTTCAAAAGTATCCACAGAATTAAAAAGTAAAAATGAATGGTAATCCTAATTGAGAATAAGAATTATTACCGTTCGTTTTCGCTTTTTAGTTTTGAGATGATAATTTTTTTACAAAGAACATCTCTTTATATATGTATGAATGGCTGAAAACTATCAATAAACTATTATTCAAAGACTTTTCGAGCAACGCTGACTATCCCTGCTAGTAACACATAGAGGTTGATGTATCACGAAATGAAATCTACCAATCAGCATGAAAGAGCTTTCATGACATTAATCCATATAATATTCTACAATTTCTTAAAAACATCAAACTGTATTCCAAAATATAATTTCAACAAAATTACTCATAAAATACACATCACCACCTCTAGTAATTATGTCTACACAAACATGTATATGCACAAAAGCTGCATATCACCTACCATGTATTCAATTGTGAAAGCAGAATAACATGCATCATGTTTATTATTTCAAAACTCCCAAGAAAATTAAATTTCAGCATTAAATGTTCCATAAGGAGTTGATGTATTATAAAACAAATCAATCAATTTTTGTGAGAGACTAGTGTTCACCTGAGTTACAGACATAAAGGTGGAATTGTGTAGTAATTACCAATAAAAATAGGTACTTATATTTTATTTTTTTTATTTTTTTAGTCATTTCTTGCCAAGTAAGGCAATAAATCAACTCAGTTGCAAGGAGTGAAAGAAACAGAGGTGGACAATATAAGAATGGCATTGAAGGAGACAGAAGAAAATGATTTTAAATTGCTTTTAAATCTTTGAAGAATCCAGTTAACAGGAAAGCAAGTAGCTGGAGGATAGTTTACAAACAAGAACTGTGAGAGAAGAAACAATTAATGTAGAACATATGGTTACATCTAGGAATTTCAACAGTAAAATGAGGAGACCTATCTGCCAATCTAGTACTACACTTGAATTTCTGAAGTTGTGGTAACAACAACGAAAGTTCATCAGAACAATTTCTGTAAAAATATTTGTAGACGAGCCAAAGGAAAGCTATGTTAGAGTGGTGGGAAAGCAACTGAAGCTGAGATGCCAAGTCAGGACTAATAATCTTGTCGATATATAGAAGTACAAGAACAGATGTGGTAGCAATATTCAATGCACAGATGAATGTGCATAGCAATATTCAATGCAGGTATAAATGTGCCTGATAGATTCTGGTGAGAAAAATTGTTTAGCATGACATAGTGAGCTGACTTTTCTAGCAGCAGACTTAGCAATTGATTCTATATAATCGTTCCATTTTATGTTGGTAGAAATATGATGGGATAAAAAAGATGTAGTAAGTTCCTTTCCTGGAGATTAACATCAGCCATGCTGATGGAAAGCAAAAAAATTTAAGATGATTAATATAGAGCAGTTTCATTTTAGAGGAATTATCATTAACAAGCAATTCCTTGATCCATTTAACAACAGATTGTACATCATTTTTGTGATCAACTGGCAATTTGATTTTATCAAACTTATCAAACTATAAGATCAGTAAATAGTTATGTCATTCAGATAAATACCATGTTAGGAACTGATGATATGAGAAAGTTTGTTTCTCAATATATGGAGCAGTGTGTGTACAAGAATAGTCTTGGGGGATGCCCACATTAATGCAAAATGCTCTAGAGGAGTGGACATTCAAGGTAACTTTCATTTTGCAGTTTGATAAAAAAAATTGAATCAAATCAAAGAAACAATCAGAAATGTAATAACCTTTCAACTTGTGAGGAAGACCAGCATGGCAAACCCTGTCAAAATGCCTTTGAAATACTTAAAGCAGCTGCTTCAGCTTTTTGCCATTTTTATCTAAAGTTTGACAGACTCTTTCAGCAATAACTGTCAACACATCAGCAGTTGATGTAGAAAAGTAAAACCCATATAGTTTATCCAAAAGAAGACCCTGCAAGGTGAGATGCTTAACCAATTCATTCATTAGAACCCTTATTACTTTGTCAAAGAGAGGTAGAAAAATAATATGTTGATAATTCAAAGGATCAGAGCTCTCATGTTGGTATAACTGGAAAAAGTAATTCCTGTGGACTATAGCTGCTGAACATGCAGGCGTGAACCAAGGAGAAAATTGTGGTTTTATTGGGTATTTACAAGAAGTTACAAAAGTCTTGATGCTAACTTTCACCCAGGAAGAAACTTTAGAGGCATATTTTTAGTAGGTAGCCTGAGTATTTCTCACCAAGGAACAAATGCCCTTGTTATTATCCTGTTTTCAGCTAAAAGGATTACCATGAGCTTGTTGGATATTCAGTATGACAGGTAAATAGAACACCATTTACAACATAGCAGAGAACAGATTTTGGCATGGCTAGATACAACATAGCAGGAGCAGGTTATGGTTGATATAATTGCATTCATGACTTATCCTTCTCCCTGACAACCATAGAGTGTTGCCACAGGTAAATTTAACATAACAGTGCTGTCAGTAAAGAGTGCACAGTGGCCTTGAAGCTTGTCTTGTCATCAGTTTTACAATATTTGCCAGAGTAGCCCTTCTGTTGGCTTGTACTTGTACTTCTGTTCCTTTCCTATATCGTTAATTTTGGCCACCCAAAGCTTTGTTTAGGAGTTCACTATGGGCAAATAATGAACTCCAAAAACTGTGGACAAAAAAACCATGAAAGTATAAAAATGAATTTTTATAGTAAAAATACCAGGAATATATTTTCATAGTTAAAAAAAAAAAAGTATCAGCAATACATTTTTGTAAATGAAATTACTAATGCTCCCAAGAAAATTAAATTTTGGCATTAAATGACCCATAAGGAGTTGATATGCCATTACACAAACCTTGACATGTGCAATTTTTATAATAAAGTAGCTGTCATTCTTGCCCATGTTACTGCTCATAAAGTTTTAGCTGATCATAACACTGTCCTGTCAGTAAAACTAGTATTAATTCATGACCAATAACAGTTCCTTTGCTTATTTTTTTATTTTTATTTTTTTTTCAATGCAAAATATAAAAATTAAATGCTTAAACATACTAGACAAATTCAGAGTTTACTCATTAAATGTTTTCTCCCAGCCATCAGAAATATTTAGTTTTATGCCAATAACAATCATATTTATCTATTAGTTGAGGTGTAAAGGTTTATCATGTTTGTTATACAAATACCTTTGGGTTTGATGTTTGATCAAGATAAAAAAAAAAAATGTTTATTAATATAAAAAATGTTTCTATCTTTTTTTGTGTGTGTGCGCATGTGCAGTTGATGGAATAAAGAAAAGGGTGGCTCGAGCAGGCCATTTACTAAATACTCACCCTGAGCTGAGAACTGTCATTGCTTCTCCCAAAACCGGTGTGAGCAGCACAATGCCATCTCCAAGAAATGGAACGAAGGATGAAAATACTGATGAAAGGAAACGGAAATTAGCACGAATGGAAATTGTACGAGACATGTTAGGTACTGACAAGAAAGCAGCAACTTTTGTGGTAAGTATAGCACCTCATCCTCTTTTTTCTTTTTCTCCTTCATTCTCTATTCTTCATAATATAACACTTCATTATCTTTTTTCTTTTTCTCCTTCATTCTCTATTCTTTATAATATAACACTTCATTATCTTTTTTCTTTTTCTCCTTCATTCTCTATTCTTTATAATATACCACTTCATCATCATTGCTTTTCTTTTTCTCCTTCATTCTCTATTCTTCATAATATACCACTTCATCATCTCGTTTCTTTTTCTCCTTCATTCTTTATTCTTCATAATATACCACTTCATCCTTTTCTCTTTTCATTTTCTCCTTCATTCTCTCTTCTTCATAATATAGCACTTCATCATCATCTCTTTTCTTTTTCTCTTTCATTCTCTATTCTTTATAATATAGCACTTCATCATTGCTTTTCTTTTTCTCCTTCATTCTCTATTCTTCATAATATAACACTTCATTATCTTTTTTCTTTTTCTCCTTCATTCTCTATTCTTTATAATATACCACTTCATCATCATTGCTTTTCTTTTTCTCCTTCATTCTCTATTCTTCATAATATACCACTTCATCATCTCGTTTCTTTTTCTCTTTCATTCTTTATTCTTCATAATATACCACTTCATCCTTTTCTCTTTTCATTTTCTCCTTCATTCTCTATTCTTCATAATATACCACTTCATCATCATCTCTTTTCTTTTTCTCCTTCATTTTCTATTCTTCATAATATACCACTTCATCCTCTTCTCTTTTTCTCCTTCACTCTATTCTTCACTCCTCTTTTGAGGAGAGTGTGATCAATTTAGACTGTAACTATTTCTGGCCAAGATCTTAGGAAATAAGAAGAAATGTAGATACAATGGAAGTCTGAAGTCTACAGATTCTCTATGTATTATTATTGTTCCTTGGAAAGAGCTACGCATCACTTTCTTTTATTGTTGTTGTGCTATAGATTTTGGATATGTTGAATTAATCCTGCCTGCTTCTCATTAGGTGTAAGGTTTATTGTCATTTGAATATAACAAGGGTATGTAAATAACTTCTATTCTATTGGATTTACTGCTTGCAAATTGGGATGTGTTCACTGGCCGTTGACTTTACTGTGGTAGGGTATGATATAGATGCTCTCTAGTAAATCAGGCATTCAATATGTAAAGAAATTCAGTTTACACTGAAGTTGACAAAGGACTCACCTCACATTTGGAATGGAAGTTCATATCGTTGTGACATATGTATATTGGAGAAAATATTTATAATTAAATATTAAAATCTGGAAGAGTAATTGAACTTCCAGTGAGCTTATATACAAATTCAGACATAAACACTGTTTTAAAACCATTTCTTCCTTATAAGAGTTCATTCTTGCAATCTTAACATCAGATATGGCAGTTACGTGGATTAATACTTGTAATCAGTTTTGTATCATTATATAAATACATGTTGTGGTCTAGATTTATATATAATTATGTTTATTGTATTTTTGTACCTATGTTGGTTTATGTTACATGGGTATATGTATGTATGTGGTTATTGTTGTGTGCATGGGTTTGTGTATGTACATGTATGGCCATATATAGATATATATGGGATGTGTGTTTGCTTATGTATGGATTGTATTATGTATATTTGTATGTATGTATGTGTGTGTATATATATATATATATATATATATATATATAGTCAACCACGGACAGACTGTTTTGCTGTATCACAGCTCATCATTGTGGCGAGACATCCGATTGTCTCAAGCCATGATCGACACCCGACTGATTTGGCATCAGTCAGAGATTTTACTCCTGAGCTATCAGCACCCGTTAAAGAGGAAGGCAGATTTTTTCGTACTTATTCTTCAAACAATAGGTATATGTGTAGTTTGGCAGACTTTGGTATAAGATTTATATACATGTATGAGAGTGAGTGTATTTGTGTGTGTTTAGAGTTATTGTTTTTTGCCATAAGCTTATATATTTGTTATTCATAGTGTATTTATATATACCCATTAATGTATATGTGTATATGTAATGGTTTATATATGTATGAACCCCTATTTATGTACTTGTGTGCAAATTATTTGTGGTTGATGCGTTTATTGCATTGTTTGCCTAATTAGACTACTTCTGTTTTAATTTTAAGTGTTATCATTGCTATGTATATGTTAGTAATTGAATGTGTAAAATATAATTTTATCCAGAATTGGTGCCAGAAGCTATATAATATATAAATGTTTGTTTATATATATGTATCTGGATGAAATTAGATAGTTACATTTGTAATCTTAGTAGACATATACTTGACTATTTCCTTGAATCTCATTAATTTTATAATTTATTAATTTGACTACTATTACTATTACTATTATTACTTTTATATCATTATTTTTTATTTTATTTTCTCTACATTATTATTTATTATAAATATTTTACTATTATTAATATATTTGGTTTTATTAAGAATATCATCATTAATTTTATAACTAATATTAATGAAAATCTTACCCTTTTTTCTCTCTCTCTCTATATATATATATATATATATATATATATATATATATTAAGAAATATAGTCTTAAGGTGTGCTATATTTATGGAATAAAGTGCTCGATATCAGAGATAGAGCGTGTGTAAATATAAAAGTGAACATAGAAGTCAGCACTTAGAGGCGACAGTCTGTTTCATGCTATATGCAATTGTCAGGCCACATTTGCTGTTATTTTTCTCGGCTATTTATATATATACGGGTTAGTGGTGCATTGTGGATATTCTATTATGGCGGTTATTTTACCGGAAGTCGTTTGTTTATTTATTTGGGTCAAATTATTTTGCTCGTTTTTATTTTTTTGTTTCTTATTTTATTTATTTATTTATTAACGTAGTAAAAATTTGTTTATATCACTTATTTAACAGTTTTGTTTTGGTTTGAGAATTTAATTCAAGCTATTTGTTCAATTGTTGGGGTTGGTTGTTGTAGTTCATTCTAACTATTATTTTTTTGGCGGGAACAGTTTTTAATTTGGGATTGGTTTGTCTATTTATTTACTTGGATGAATTTAGGTCAATTTATTTGTATATTTTCTCTTTTCGGTTTACCCATAATGCATATATATATATATATATATATATATATATATATATATATATATATGCATTATATGCTATATGCATTTTTAACTGGATTATATTTTTATATTAAATTTGAAATCTTTACAAGAAAATTACATGATTTTTCAGAAAAAAACTACACATTATTTTTAATATTAAAGGCCCCTTTTTTTTTTTTTTTTTTTTTAAATGTATACATAAGTGCCATAATCATTGCCTACACAGAATATTTCGATTACACACACATCTTTCATTGATTTCCCCTCCCTTCTCTTTTCTTTGCTCTTTTCTTTTTCTCTTCTTTCCCTTTCATGTGTCTTTATCTGTCACAATTGTTGTTTCCATGTTTTCTGGAGTCTGTATTTTAAATTAGGTCAACAAGTCGAAAGTCAGTTGTTTCAGCTGAAAATAACTTCTATTCATTTCAATCTAAATTTAAAAAAAAATTTCTATATTATTTCCTTTCTCTGAATGATTTTATCATCTTCTTTTCCACAATCTCATATACGCTTTTTTCCTGTCTTTATTTACACCTCTCTCTCAATCTTATTTATGCGTCTTTCTTTCCAGCTTCCCCACCGCTTTCATGTATACACTTTTACATAAATATTGTTATTTAAACCTGGAGGAGTATTTTCTGTTTTCTTTTGGATTTGAAGGTCTGATGAATTGGGACTATTTTTATGACCCTAATGAAATTAATTATTACCTCATGAAGTTTTAGTGTTTGTGCCTTTTATAATAATAATTATTGCTCTGTTTCTAATATACCTCTCCTTGGATTTATATCCTTTTGGAAATATCCATACTGATCACTAATATTATCATTTTATATATATGCATATATATATATGTAAAACTTGGGATGACCCATGCCCTTTATGCCTCCATGAGAAATTGCACATAATTAAGCTTCTAAATAATAATAATCTATTAAACAATAGACACGAGTTAACGGTTTTTTGTAGGCATCATCAGATTTTTGGTTTGAACTATTAGCTAAAAACTAGCATACAATATAATAACTTGTTTAATCCATAGCATACTCATCAGATTCATGGTTTGAATAATTAACTAAAAAACATGCATACAATTTAACACCCTTCATAATCCATAGCGAAATAAATAGTTTAAATACCTAAAAAAAAAAAGATAACCCTTTATGAAGTCGTCAAAAAACAAACGTTACGACAGTTTTTGGTTTTTTTTATATGCACAAATCCCTTTCATAAAAAAATAAAATAAAAAAATAAATAAATCTCCATAGACATGCAAACTAGACGAGGGTTAATACATCTTCCGTTTCAAATTTAGACACCCCCACCTTTCACTGACTTGACATCTATGAAAGTAACTCTATACTGATACTTATTATTAACACCCAACACCCACCTACCCAACTTAAACAATTCGCCCTAGCTGTTACCATGGAAATTTTGATTTCAATTTTTAAAACACGTAAATTTCAGAAACACGTTATTCCAAAAAAAATTTCGCTTGAAGATGGAACAGAGCTTATTTTAACTCAATTTAATTTAAATAATTTAAATAATTTTATTGAAGTTTTCGGCTCTTGTTTTGAAACATGGGACTTCTTATGTCGCGATTTGGAATCATATTTTTAAATAAATAATTATATATGGGTTACAAATGGTGATTCTCTTGAGATAGGCACAAGAATCATGTGAGAGTCTGTGAATGACATCAGGCGATAAATTGATGAGAGCAATTGTCATGTAGAGCCCAGAGATAAAGGGCATCCTTAGGCCACAGGAGTATGTCTTACAGTAAAAAGCACAGGAGGACACATATTTTCTATGAAATTTCTCAGACATTCAGGCCAGTAAATGATGTTAATACTGTTATTAGAAACAGAGCATTTATAAAAATAACGTATATACAGAAATTATATTAAAATAATTGGCAGACTTAGTCCATTTCATAATATATGGGAGAGAGAGAGAGAGAGCACTATCTTCAGTCATTAACGAGGGTAATTATATTGCCCATATTTAAATTATTTTCACACTACCAATAGAGACTTGGGAGATTACCTTGCTACTCAGAAAATGCCAGTATGTACACGGAGCTATTTCTAAAAACAAAAATGATACTTTAGTTATTTTTCCAAATTAATATTTTGTTTTCATGTAGAAATTGGATATTGTGAAACAAATTATTTTATTTACTGATAACTGATGATTCTTTATTTACATTCTTTTTTTGTATCTAAAATAATGGACTGATAATTAAACCAGATTATTTGAAAAATTAAATCAAGAATTAGAAAATTTGATCATTAGTAGATTTTGTTTGGGAGTAAAACAGTTTTTAGAAGGCAATTTTATTTTATCATTTATAAATAGCTGTGTTGTAATTCAAGCTGTTTTTGTTACCTATCTATCAAAGAACAGAATGTGAAAGAGACTCAAGCAAGAATATTGTGTAGTATAAATTTGTTTTTTTTATAATATCTTCAACAATAAAATAATAATATCTATTAATGCGCATTAATTTCAGCCACCTTTTGTTAATTTTTGCTTTTTATCATTGCGTCTTTTGTTTTTTCTTTTTAACCAATAAGAAAGAAATATATATGTATAATGTCAAATTTTCCGTACCCAAAATTTCTTAGAAAAAAAAAAAGAAGAAAAATTTTGTAAAGGGGCATAACTTTAAATTAATACATTGAAGTTGTT